CACACACACACACACACACACACACACACACACACACACACCTCCCACCAGGGACCGTGAGATGGCTCAGCAGATAAAAATGTACTTGCTGCCAAGCCAGACAGCCTGAGTTTGAACCCTGGATCCCACTCAGTAAAAGGAGAGAGAAATAACTTCCCCCAAGTTGCCCCGTGATCTTTATGCACAAGCTGTAGCATGTGCCTATCTGCACACTAAACAGACAATAAAGGAAACAAAACACCAAAGCAAAGAAGCATTAAGTCCTTTGAGCTGGGCATGGTAGAGCACAGCTGTAATCCAAGCATTCAAGAGGCCGAGGCAAGAGTGTTGACTTAAGTTCAAGACCAGCCAGGGCTGTATCTTCACAGCAAGTTCCGGGCTAGCCTGTACTCCTTAACAAGACTACTTAGCAAGTCTCAAAGACAGAAGGGGGGGGGAGATAGGTGAGAAGGGGAGGGATGGAGGTAGACATCCAGGCAGGCACTTACAGCTTCTAATAGATGAGAAGAGTTTGAATACATAAATTTGGGGGTGGGAGAGGGGAGTTTCATTCTGCAGCTCCGGCGCATTTCAAATGTAGGGCTACCTTTTGCTTCAGCCTCCCAGATGCTGGGATTACAGGTGTGAGCCACAGCACCAAGCCTAGGGGCAAAAATCTTTGTTTATAGATAGGGTCTCACTAACCTGGTCATCACCCTGGCGGGCCTGGAATTCACTATGTAGACCAGATCTACCTGCCTCTGCCCATGGGATTAAAGGCATGCACCACCCCGCCCCCTAGGGGGGTTAAATCTTAAGTGTCTGACCTCCTTGGAGTGACTTCATCTCTTGGGCCTCAATGTCTTCACGTGTGAAAAAGGGATAACAATAGTATCTGTGTCACAGGGCTGCCGTGTGTAATGAACTAGCAGAGCGTGCGTGAGTGTGACGGTTGCAGCCATCCATGTTGCTGTTGTTATTAGTCATCCAGTCCCAGCTCAGCTGTGCTGGAGACGTCAAGGAGATGAGAGGGAAGACACAGGGACGAGCCAAGGCAGACAGCCCTGGAGGGTTGGCTCTGTTGTGTGGGCATCAGCACGTCGAGGCACGTCTGGTTCTCACAGCTGGGGCCACATGTGTGAACACGTCCCTGAGGGAGGTACACTAGCTATAGGGGATCAAGGTAGATTCCAAGGGCCCAAGCCCAGTAGGAGGACGCCTCAGACAAGCTGGCAAGCACCCGGACTCTGAACCCCACCTGGGGCTCTATTGCACACCTGCACCTATCGGCTTGGCCTCTCCCTCCCTGAACCTGCCCTGCTCACTCTTCTGATTCATCAGAAGAGAGCCACACCCAGGCTGGGGGCAAGGGTGGAAGATGTCTGAAGGGGCCCCTTGGGGAGCAGAGGATTACAGGGGACGAGGTGGATGCCTGAGTAGGGTGAGGATCCTGAGTATTTTGCCCTTTGAACATCTAATGAAAAGCCAGAGATAGCCGGCCTTGTCGCTCATGCCTGTAATTCCAGCACTCTGGAGGACTGAGGTAGCAAGATTGTTATCACAAGTTCAAGGCCAGCCTAGGTACATGATGGGTCCCTGACTAGGATCCCTGAGCATTTTGTCCTTTGCTGGAAAAGGAGCTCTGAAGTCTTCTGCAAGAGTAGTATGTTCTCTTAACTCTGCAGCCCCGCCTTTGAATAGTTACTGAAAGCTGGAGCAGATGGCCTAGTTGGCTCACAGCTGTCATCCCAGCCTTTGGGAAGCTCAAGTTAGCAAAACTGTCATAAGTTCAAGGTTAGCCTAGACACAGGTTGGATACCTGGCTATTCCTGACTATTTGGTTGGCCCTTTGCATATCCAATGAAAGCTACAGGTTGTGTGGACTCATGCCTGTAAGCCCAGCCTTGAAAAGGCTTATGGGGGGAACTGAAGAGATGGCTCAAAATACTTGTGCTCTTGAAGAGGGCTGGGGTTCAATTCCCAGCACGGACACAGTGGCTCATAACCATCTGTAACTCCAGTTCCAGGGGATCTAACCCGACCCCACACAATCTTCCCAGTCAGCAGAAGCATGCACACAGTATGTATACATACATGCAAGCAAAACACTCAGACGCATACAATAAATACATTTAAATAAAAAAATTAAAGAAATATGGACAAACAAGTGTGGTGGCACACCCCTGTCCGTAATTCCCAAAAGGCAGAAGCAGTAGCAAGCCTGCAGGCCAGCCTGGTCTACACCCCAAACTCTATCTCAATGGGGGGAGGGCAGCACAGAGGAACATGATCATAATCCCAGCATTTAGAGCAGCAGAGACTAGATTATCAAGAGTTCAAGGCCAGCCCCAGTTACATAGTAAAACTGAGGCCAGGTTAGGGTATAGGAGAATGTCTAAAGAGAAAAAAAGCCGGGCATTGGTGGCTCACGTAGGTGGATCTCTGTGAGTTCAAGGCCAGCCTGGTCTACAGAGTGAGTTCAAGGACAGCCTCCAAAACAGAGAAACCCTATCTCCAAAAACCAAAAAAAGAAAGAAAGAAAAGAAAAAAGAGCCCACCCAGCATTGGTGGTGCTCACCTTTAATCCCAGCACTCCAGAGGCAGAGGCAGGTGGATCTCTGTGAATTCAAGGCCAGCCTGGTCTCGAAAAACCAAAGAGAGAGATTTAAAAAGGACAACCAGGCCAAGGGTTCAATCAAGACAGCCTAGAATGAGTGTGCATCCTTATACCTTATTGGTGTTCTTCAGATCTGGTTATCAGACACCCTCCGTTCTGTTGAGAAGACTCAACAGAAGTCACAGACCGTTCCCGTAAAATTTATGTGACCATAAAGACTCACACAATGGTACAGTGTCAGAGGTTCCTAGGCAAGATGGAGTCAGTCAGAGTTCTCCACTGTAGCCTCTTCCCAAGAACGAGTAACCGAGGGAGAAAAAGGGAGAGACAGAAACGGAAGAGTAGAGGGTTCAAGAGATGGTGAGTAACCTGGTTGTCAGAAGGAGGTGGCCAATGGATGGAAGAGATATCTAGAGATGTAACTGCAACTGCTGGCAGGTAACTCAGAGGAGCCTGGGAGAACACTTTCTAAGCAGCCAGGGCAGGGAGGATGGAAGGGCACGCTCTGGGGATGAATGGGGTCCTACTCACTCCAGATCTGTCCTCCGGATCGCTGGTACCTCCGCCCCCAGCCACCAAGTCATCCTCCGATTCATCAAAAGAGGAGGCAGAGGAGAAGCCTCCAGTGCCCCCCTCAATCCGGGATGG